ATTAATTTATAAAATAATACTCTTATAGCAAAAGACCTGATAGAAGTTAATTACAAGCACAACTTAAAGGCCAAATAAAATCAGTTAAAAAAAAAAAACTTTGGATTAAAAATATTTTTAAATATAACCATTAATTGTATTTTTAAAGAACTTCAGATATCATACATAATAATTTTGAGACATAATACCATATAGTCAGGATATACCAAGAATATACTAAGATTATCAAATCTTTAAACACCTGAATAGTAATAAAAGAAAACTTCATTAGTAAGTGATGTGAATTCCCAGTCAAACCATTGGCTTTGATAAAGTTGCAACCAAGTTAGCAATCAAGAAATAATAATAAAATTTTAACATAATCTTGTGCGTTTGCTGTCTAGTATTAGGCAAAAACACAAGAGAAAATACTGACACACAAATTTCAGCCCAACAAGAGTCAGTCATGTCCTCCAATCCCGACAACATTCCTCGCACAATTTACAATATGCTAAATTACCCCCTTCACCTTCAGCACCCTTCTCTTAAACAAGAATCCCTTGTGGCTTTCCATGAAGTTCCAGAGCCATCAGGAGCCGACCACAAGCCACCGTGAAACAACACCCAAGTCATTCCAACAGCAACAAACTCAACTCTCTACCTTACATGCTATTTAATATTCAAGTCAAAAAATCTCACAAATTATAAATTAAACCACTAAACTTTAGTCAGACAGATAAAACTTTTGACCATATTAAATACATTTCTTTTTTGATAAACCTCTTAAACATCTTTGTTGCATACCTCTTATAATGCATTCTTTTAAAATGGCAAAAATGAACACACTCATCAGCAGACTTAAATATATATGTATATTCTTCCTCTTCTGGCATAAAAAGCCAAAGTATATAAGCTTAAATTATGACAAATATCTGTTAATTTAATATCAATAAGTTACATAAAATGTCTTGGGAATTATTTTAAGCCTGTATATGATAAAACATAACTGTTGTTGAAAGAAGTTTGTTTAAATATTCTAATTTTCATTTAACTTTTATTATTTCTTGTATTTCTTAATCTAATTTTAGCCCTCAGAGATTTTATCAGCTGGCTTTGGAAATCACAAAGTCTCTGTTCAATTGACCAATCCATTGATATGGATATAACTTTAAGCCCCTGGCTACTGCTAGAAGCATTTTTCCAGGCCATTTGAAGTGTGTCTCATTGTGATTTCTATTCCTTTTGACTTCTTAGAGTTCCCCTGTAATATAGAGAACTTGTTTACAGTTCTTTTATGACTGGGATCCACCCAGTTTCTGATAACTATAGCAAAGCAGCAGTTTTTCTAATCTTTGTCTTAAAAGGGTCTCTGCCTAGTTGGAAAAGGTCTTTTAAAAGCTTCCCTGGAGCTACATGACCTTGGAGACTGGGGGCTGAGGCAGAGGAGGCCTGATCTTGCCCCACCCTCACTGTTTTGATTCATAGAAGACATTTACATATGTTTAAGTTGACCTAGGCATTTTGAAGGGCAAAAGGTAACTAATTTCTTTTTTTGTTCTTTTGTTTGGTATTTTCACACTGTCACTTTTAATGTTCCTTTTTTATTTTTTTAACTATGCCAGCTACTCTGGTCTCTTTTTGAAAGGGTGTGGGGACTTCTCTGCTCCTGTGGCGTTGGTCTCCCTCCTTTTCTTTGTTTTCTCTAGGGATGGCCTTCAGCCTGCAAGGAGGCAGCTAGGAAGGCTGCCTGGCACTTTTGGTCTGTAGCTTTTTTTCTTTCTTGCCCCTTATCTCGGCCAGAGTAAACTTGGCAGGCCAGCTCTAGCCAAGGGATTTTTAACCCTGTACTTCCTTCTTTCTGAAGCTTTCTCTTAATATCGGGGGCACTTTGTCCTGTAAAGATTATATTGACCGTTCTGGCATTTTCAGGGCTCTCAGGATCCAGATCAGTGAACTCGTGAACATCGTCTTAAGATACTATGGCTATCTCAAGAACCAGTCTCACCTAGGGTATTTTCACTTTCCCTAACAGCCGAATCAGGGCACCCAAGTAGATGGTATGATACTAGGTACACACAGACAACGGACAGGACAGACACAGAACCACAGTAAACGAATAAATCCCTCAAACTGCCGGAGGTGCTCTTGACCCCTTCAACCTCTCAGATGGCCCTGCCTGCCGACAGAGGTGATCTTAGAGAGTTTCAACCTCCCAGACACACTCACGAAAAATCCCACAAGCTGCCGGAGGTGCTCTCGATCCCTTCAGCCTCTCAGACAGCCCTGCCTGCCGACAGAGGTGATCTTAGTGAATCTCAATCTTCCAGACACATTCACGAGCACACACACACCCAAGACCAAGACTCCGGAGTCACCAAGAGTCCTTTTCTGCTACCCTATTCACGGGGATCGGTCATCTGAGGCGCCCTCTGGCTCAGAAACCAAGGGCTCAGGTCCCGTTCCGGAAACCTCGGGACTGCCCTATTTGCCCCGGCCCTGAGTGCAACAGGGAGAGGAATTGCAGACTCACCTTAGGATCCTCTTATACCAGTCTTGCTTGTTTCCCCCCTTACCTCCGTCTGGTGCAGTTGGGTACTGGTGGTGCCGCAGCGGGCCTCGGTACTGTCGGCAGCTCCCTGGAGGCAAAGGGAGCTTCTTGTAGCCGGCCGTTCAGGGAGACAGCCAGACAATCCTGGGCCAGCCTCGGGGCCACCAGGTCTCAAGCTGCTGGAGAGCCCCACATAGGGCGCCAAAATTTGTTACTGCAATGGTGGGTCTGAGCCGCCTGCTGCAGAAGCCAGTACTGAGACAGGGGTGAGGTGAGCAGCAAGAGTGTTTTTATTGTATATCGATATACAGGAGACAGAGGGGAATGAGCTCCTCCAAAAGACCTGTCTCCCCCTTGGAGACTGGCTGAAAGTTTTTTTTATGGACAAGATTATAGTTTTTTTTCCGGTGGTTACATTCTGCACCTGGCAGTCCTTGAAGGTCATCTTGCACCCTTATTATCATGTCGCCGATGAGTTACTCTACCCTCCAAGGTCATTCTACCTCTCAAAGAGAAACTTAGTTAAACTTCAAAGTCATGGGAAATCAAGGGGAGGTGGGGGACAGGAGGAAAACAAATCAAAATCATAGGAGCATGCAAAAGTGAAATATGCAAGCTAGGCATTAACAGTACCACAATACCCAGGAAGCTAGGCCTATACTGCTGGCAATAAACAATAAATGTGAAATTTCCACACAGCTCCTTTCAAAATGGGAGCAAGCACTCCTCCTCTGCGAAGAGAGGGGGTGCTCGTTTTTTTCTTGCCCTGCTTTTTTTTTTTTCTCCTTTTTTTTTTAAATTGTTGTGCTTTAAGTGAAAGTTTCCAATTCAAGTTAGTCTCTCATACAAAAGTTTATACATACATTGTTATGTGACCCTAGTTGCTTTCTCTACACTGTGACAACACACTCTCGTTTCCACCCTGGATTTCCCTTGTCCATTCAACCAACTCCTGACCCTCTCTGCCTTGTCATCTCACCTGTGGACAGGAGCTGCCCATTTAGTCTCATGTATCTACTTGAGCTAAGAAGCACACTCTTCACGAATATCATTTTATGTCGCATAGTCCAGTCTGATCTTTGTCTGAAGAGTTGGCCTTGGGAATGGTTTTAATTTTAGGCTAACAGAGAGTCCCGGGGGCATGTCTTCTGGGGTCTTGCCAGTCTCTGTCAGACCATTAAGTCTGGTCTTTTTACTAGAATTTGAGTTCTGCACCCCACTCTTCTCCTGCTCCGTCAGGGACTCTGTTGTGTTCCCTATCAGGGCAGTCATTGGTGGTAGCTGGGCACCATGTAACGAATCACCAAGTTTTAGGTTGGCAGTTGAGTGCAAATTGCTGGTGCCATCCAGGGACATGGAGACAGATTAGATAACTATAAAAAGTGATAATTGGGACAAGAGGCAGGATCAGTGTCTGATAGAAGAACTCAGGACTCTTCTAGCTTTGATAGAGACATATGTGGACCAAGTATTAAGTGTTCTTTTTTTCCCTTCCTATGTTGCCAAGTTTTTGCCAGAAGGTTGATCATTGCAGCTTGTAGACCATATTTTTTATTCCCTAATTACATTAACAGCTAGAGTTGTTTTATAGATTTTGCTTGAGACTGATGCCAGCTCTCTTATGTGTCTGAGAGTAATTGTAGCATAAATCTAGACTATTTTTTTAGACTTTAAAATTTTGAAGATTGTTCTCTATTTGTTTGATGTATAAATTCTCCATCTGCTTCACTTCTCTATGATATTTCAAAAATATGCTTGCTGTGAGATACAATGAGACACTTTATGTAGTTCTAACATAAATAATTTAGATTAAAAATTCAATGATGAGTAATATTTAGTTTTCATGTTGATACATCCAGTCACTGTGGCTTAGCCTACTGTTATATCCTTATTCTAGTTTACAGAGTTATAGATTTTGGGTGTTTATCCTCTTAAAATCTATGCCCTACCAATGATATAATGCCTCTCCTCTTCCCCAGGTGAGAATTATTGATGAAAAGTATAATATAATGTAGGCCTGGGTTTAAAAAATTTTATTTCTACTACTTGAATAAATTATATAATATCTTTATACCTCAGGTACTCATCTGTGAAATAAATATAATACAAGTTATTCTGCAGAGTTGTTGATTAGAGAGAATGTATGTAAGATGCGAGATATAACTCTTCCTGGCTCTCAGTAAATGGCAGATACATTATTACTACTGTTAGATTACTAACTAGTGCCTGTAGACTTCTTAGACAGTGCGGCATAGACACTGGGCTATATATGCCCTGCGAAAATCACATGCTGGATTAAGGGAAGCTGGTATACAATTCCATGGGAGTTTAGAGAGTCCTCTGGAGCAGACCATTTCTGTTTTAAAATTGAGTTGTTCAGATTTGTGAAAATAAACAAATCTATCTTGAAGTCTTTTCTTGGCAAATGGATTTGAACTCTAATAAAATATTTTTCTTTTCCTTTTATTTTAAGGGTGCTATTTTCTTGGAAGGTGTAACCGTTAAAGGTGTAACTCAAGTAACAACTCAACCAAAGTTAGGAGAGGTACAGCAGAAGTGTCATCAGTTCTGTGCCTGGGAAGGGTAATAAACATTTTAATGTTTTAACAATTTATTATTACTCTGTAACCCTTAAAATTAATACAAACATTAATTGTATTTGCTCCTTGAAAGAGAGTACTTAAAAAGATACCAAACAAGAGTTTATCAAGTTTTTCTCTAGACAAGCAGTTTAATAAATCAGATGGTTGAGTCAAAAGTAGATGACTCACATCTTCCTAAAAGAATAGAAAGTTACTCTTGTCATTATCTAGTATTTGTTATGTGTCTTTGATTCTACTGCTGCTGATTTCATGTTTGGGCTGGTTTTATCTATTAAGGGAGAATAGGTGAAACTTGAATTTGGCTCATTTTCCAGTTTTTCTGTAATCAGAAGTCTGGGAGAATCAGCTTTAAATATGTTCTGCCCCTCACCATGATTTGAAAATATTTATCAGACATTTCATAGAATAGGTACCCAGGAGAAAGTTCACAGCTCTTATCTGTTGCTCACAAGACTTGGTCTGTGGTCATTTATATTGATCATTGTTATCTGTGGCAGAAAATTGTAATACAGTATGAACATGATGAAATAGGAGCATTAATTGTTAAAAATTTATATATAAATTTATAAGAATTTATATATAAAGAACTTTTGTGAGTGGTACATACAGATCAGATAAATCAGCTAGAAATAATTTTAATTTAAAGATAAAAATGATGAAGAAATAATATTGGTTTTATTGTGTTCAATTCTTGCCAGTGTACCTTAATTTTGACCTACATTTCTCCTGTTTTGTCACTTCTGGGCATCTTTTGAACAGAAATCTGCCTGCCCTCTAGTGTCATGCCAAGTTGGCAGTGTCATGGTGGAGAAATACGGGTCTAGAATAATGTAAGGTAATTAAGCCAAGATTTAAATTTCTTCCTGAAGTAAAAGACTTGTAAACATAACCGCTTTATTGTTTAGATCATGTATATTAATATTTTAAAATTAACTCAATAGTGGTAGTATAGCAGGCACAATTTAGAATCTTGTTAACTTGTATCGTAAAATGTCAACGAAATGATAACCTTTTGTTAGCATTCTTGTGAAAGCTGCTGTTATTCCAACTGATGTTAATCTCGTGATAGGGAGAACATTGTGATAAATATGTGACTCATGTGAGATTGATTTAAGGCATGTATTGATTTGTATGGATACCAGTTATAGTAGTAATAAAATGTTCTTCATTTAAGGTCTGGATTCCCTGGAGCACAGCCTGTTTCTATGGACAAGCAAAATATTAAACTTTTAGAGCAGAGGCCATATAAAGTAAGCTGGAAAGCAGATGGTACTCGGTAAGTTAGACTTCTAAAAAAAATTCTATAAATAACCCTAATGCTTGAAGAATATTGCTTTGTTGTTAGGGAAGGTTCACACTGTTGGGAGTGTGAATTTCTGACATGATCAGCAAAAACCACAGTTCAAAAATTACATAGTTTTTGTTAGGCATAGTATTTTTGGCCATGTAATGCACTTATCTTTCATTGTACTAAATTTTTGGTTTCAGGGTACTATTAGTTCGACATAAATCTCTATCAAATGCGAAGTTTGAAAGCATTTTCTCTTGAGAATATTGTGGTTTTTGATGTCTGCTTCCCACTGCATGGCATTAATGGTTGTTGGGTACTTCTAAAGTTAACAGATGTGTTGTCAGTTTATAATATAAAAATTACCAACTCCCTAATTAAATCTATTTTTTATTTGTTTGAATAGTAGTTATCCTTTTTCTCTTAATCCTTTGCTAATATTTTTTGTATTGTTATACCCTCTTAAGGTAGTTGTATCCTTACAGCAAAGCTTAGTTTCAAATTTCATGTTCTTAAGTTTTTTAATTTTCGTTAATGTTTTACTCTTCCTTAATAGCATTTTATTTTCCTTTCTCTTTTGGAATTTTTTTTTTTTACATTTTTATTCTATGTATTTATTAATTCAGCAAATTTTATAATAGTTGAAATCATCATTTTAACAGATATTAATATAGAGGTCCTATTGACTTTCATAATGAAGAAAACATTTTAGAATAATTAGGAGTGCCTATATATATATATATATGTATGTTAGTTTTTTAAATGTTATTTTGAAGATGATGTGGGTTGCCTTTAATTTTCTATGAAAAGTTTTTAAATGTCAAAGTAGCATGTATACCCTATGTATCATGATTATTTTCATCTATATTTAACTTGTGGTGACCTTGAAAGATACATGTGGAGACATGAATGGGGCAGATACAGCTCGATTTCAATATTAAGTGAATATAATGATATTATTTCAACATGATATGCTTTCTAGTATATCTGAGTATTTTATTATATTTTATTTTTAGTATTTGGGGATATAACAAAACATTTTCTTCCAGTTGTCTTGATTTGTTGGAAACAGTCTCTCAATTTAGGCTTTTCTGCCTTTTTTTAGTATTTCATAGGTAAGATTGAGTTCATTAAACATAGTTCAGAAAATAGCAAACACAAGAGGAGAATAAAAATAAACAATAATTTTATCATCTAGAGATAAGCACTATCATTATTTTAGTATTGACCTTTTGCTTTTAGTTATAATCAGTTATTGTTTTTAATATTAATACTTGGTTTACTAAATCCAAATAGAAAACAAATGTATTTTACATATGTATGTTCATTTATTCATATTATTTTGAATTTACTAAAAAATGAATTAGCTTAAAAAATACTATGAATACATGATTAAAAATTCAAACAGCATGCAAAGATAAGATAAAAAGATAAGTCAGCCTTGTCTAATTCCAGGAGTATACAAGGATGGATACGTGATTTGCCTCTTCTATGCCACCTTTTCCCAAAGTGGATTCTTTTTTTGAAGGAATAAGTGAAAGTTAACATTGCTGCTTATTTTCAGAATCTTAGTATACTCAGTATGTTCAGTACCATTGGTTCCTGATCATATGTTACCTCCTGAAATGGATGAACGTCAACCAGTTATTTTTGGTACAGTGACTCTGTGTATTCCTTCTGTCTTCTTTTTTTTTCATTTATCAAGGGCAATAGGTTGTGCCCATCTTTATTTCTGAGTTTTATTCACAGAGTCAGTTGAGGTCGCTGAATATCTGGAAACAGCTTCCTTGAAGAACAAAGCTGACGTCCTTAGGGAAAGTGAGGCACCACTTACATTCCAACTCTTGACTCAAACATTACAACAGAGGGTACTTCCGGTACAGCACTTAGTTCCCTGCCTGATTTTAAGGGGATCTGCAATAGTGAAACAGGCATATTGAGAACCAATAAAGGAAATGTCAGCAACAGCAAAAGCAAAGCAGACAATGTGCAGACAATACTGCTTTACAAACATAAAAACACTATGTTTGCCATCATATCTTCTCTTTACATCTATTCTAACCTGTGCCAAGACAGGACAGTAAAAATATTGATCCATTCATCAGCAAAACATTTACAAACAAAATCATGTTACTTTGTGTTCTTTTTAATTTAAATTATGAGTAAAATAAACAAGTTTTTTAAAAAATTTACACTAGATTCTTAGACATTATTTAAAAATATTCTTGAAAAGCCATATGATGTTAATTTTGTGTATGCTGAAACTTGTCATGTAATCGTAAGTAAGTATGGGCATTCCCTAACTTACAAAGAATTGAGTCATATCTCCTCACTGACCCTAGTTTAATGATGAGAAGATGGCTTCAAGAGCATTATGACTTTGTTTCCTATCACCTCCTTGAACTCCCAAGTATAATGTAAGTGATGAACTTCTGATAATGTACAGTCTTTCACTAGTAGTTGGACTTCCTTGGTGCACTGTCACTTCATTTTTGGTACAACCAACACTGTAAAATTCTTTTTTTTTTTTCTTAAAATTTTTTTCCCCCATACAAAAATTTATACATACATTGGTATGTGACTCTAATTGCTCTCCCCATACTGTGACAGCACACTCCTCCTTTCCATCCCTGATCCCCCACGTCCATTCAGCCAGCTCCCAACGCTCTCTGCCTTTCCTTCTCACCTATGGACAGAAGCTGCCTGTTTAGTCTCTTGTATCTGCTTGAGCTAAGAGGCACACTCCGCACGAGTATTACTTTATGTCCCATAGTCCAGTCCAATCCCTGTCTGAAGATTTGGCCTCGGAAATTGTTTTAGTTCTGGGCTGATAGAGAATCCAGGAGCCATGCTTTCTGGGGTTCTTCCAGTCTCAGTCAGACCATTAAGCCTGGTCTTCTTAATAGAATTTGAGTTCTGCACCCCACCTTTCTCCGATCCATCAGGGACTCTCTGTGAGGATCCCTGTCAGGGAGGTCATTGGTGGTAGCCAGGCACCATCTAGTTCTTTTGGTCTCAGGCTGATGAAGTTTCTGGTTTATGTGGCCCTTTCTGTCTGTTGGGCTAATACTTTCCTTGTGTCTTTGGTGTTCTTCCTTCTCCTTTACTCCAGGTGGTTGGGACCAATTGATGCATCTTAGATGGCCGCTTGCAAGCTTTTAAGACCCCAGGTGCCACTCACCAAAGTAGGATGCTGAACATTTTGTTAATAAGCTTTGTTATGCCAAATGACCTAGATGTCCCTTGAAAGCATGGTCCCCAAACCCCTACCCCTGCTACTCTGTCCCTTAAAATGTTTTATTGTATTCAGAAAACTTCTTAGCTTTGTTTTAGTCCAGTT